CTGTCAATAAGTTTTGGCGCACATAGTTAAAGTTTCCGCACAACCAAATATAATTTTGCGCACACATATCAACTTTTCCACGCACAATCAACATTTGCACGCACTGAACTTAATCCTGCACAAGTATACTAATGATTCCGCACAGTGACATTACTTTTGCTCAACACTACAAATAGTTTTGCGCACAACATACATTTTTGCGTGCTGACACATGAAGTCTGGGAATACTTACCCAAACGGACCGCCATACATAAGGGATACAATTCTTTTGCACTCCACAGGGGCGCAATTATTTTGCACTCCACAGAGCGCACAATTCTTTCAAGTGCCACTGTATGTACCTTGTGCTTTGATAGGGTCACAAATAGTCTGTGTCCAGCATTGTTTCAATGTCAGAGTGTGGCCAATGTGAAATGGGCACGAAATGTCATGTCAGAGTGCGCCCAACGTGAATGCACATCAAATGTGTGCACTAAGTATGCATCTGCACCTGTTATTTTTCAGTGTGTATTTCCACCCATTATTCTTTTGCATGAAATGTTGAGTGCGCAAGAGAAAGATAACTATATATTGGATAAAAGTAGCTGTAGGTTACTGGCTGAGAGCCATCTTGCAAATCTATGGAATCCATCCCGAAAATTCATGAAATCCATCCACCATTCCAGGAATTCCATCTTCAATTCCTGTAGATTAATCCAGGAAGTGTACTTCTGGAGCCCAGAGCCCAGCCTATATCCTGTACCATCCAAGAGAGTGAAATATGGGGCATTTGGGAGGCACCAATGTGATTTGGGAGTGACCTGGAGGGTGGGGGAGAATGGGAAGGCAGTAAAAAATGCGAAATATGAGAGAGCATGGGGAGTATCATCACCTACCCATGTCTGGACACCTTAGAAAGTCAGGATAGGACCATAAAATGTTTTGGAAATGGGAGGAGAATGGGATGGCAGTGAAAAATGTGAAATAGGAGAGAGCATGAGAGGTATCATCACCTACCCTTGTCTGGACACCTTAGAAAGTCAGAATAGAACACATTGAGCGCACTCTGAGGGGCACACTCTGACATTTGGTGCACATTCCCATTGGGCGCACTCCAAATACATACTGAAAAACAACAAGTGCAGATGCACACTTGTTGCAGGTATATACTGACTTGGCACCCACTCGCATTTGGCGCACCTTCACATTGGGCTCATATTTCATTTGGTGCACATTCACATTGGGCACACTCTGACATTTCGTGTGCATTCACATTGGGCACACTCTGACATTTCGTGTGCATTCACATTGGGCACACTCTGATATTTCATGTGTATTCACATTGGGCGCACTCTGACATTTCATGAAGAAAAATAATAGGCGCAAATACACACTTGGCACCCACTCATGTTTGGTGGAAATCCACATGGCAAAATTGGTGCACAAAATAATGGGCACAGATACACATTGAAAAATAATGGGCGCAGATACACACTCGGTATTGACAGTTATGGTGCCCACCTGAAGCACCAATGGGCATGACAATCTGACACTGGCAGTATCTTGGTGCCCACTCACATTTGTATTCACTACACAATGCTGGACACAGGCTATTTGTGACCCTGTCAACAGCACAAGGTACATACAGTGGCACTTGAAAGAATTGTGCCCCCTGTGGAGTGTACATCCCTCATGGAGCTCGAAATAATTGCACCCCCCATGGAATGCAAATAATTTCGCCCCTTGTGGAGCTCAAGATAATTGCACCCCCTGTAGAGCTCAGAATAATTGTGCCCCCATGGAGTGCAAAAGAATTGCGCCCCTCATGGAGTTTGAAATAATTGCACCTCTAGAGCACAAAATAATTGCGCCCCCATAGAGTGCAAAATAATTGCTCCCCCATAGAGCGCAAGTAATTGCGCCCTGGAGCATAAAAGAATTGCGCCTCGTGCCCTCTGTAGAGCTCAAAATAATTGTGCTTCCCTGCAGCACAAAAGAATTGCGCCCCTTGTGGAGCTTGAAATATTTGCGCCTCTACAGCGCAAAATAATTGCACCCCCCATAGAGTGCAAATAATTGTGCCCCTTGTGGAGCTCAAAATAATTGCGCCTGTAGAGCGCAAAATAATTGCACAGGTTAGGACTCACCAATGAGACCAATGGGTGCAGTGCATCAGTG